CTTTTGAAGATAATTTGCCTAAACCTATAAAATATAGACGACGGCTACAATTGCATGGTGGTCAACGAAAATCACATGGCTCCACAAACCATAGTTGCCTTAAACAAGGAACCTTGAAACAAGGTTCTGCTTAGCGTGCAAGAAGTACACCAAGACATTCGTACACATGAATTTAATTTGGAGCATATTTTGTGGCTTATAAACCTAAGTTCATCTCCCAACAGAACATGTGAATCACATCAAAATGTCTGCTAGCGCGAGTTGTTTCTTCTGTTTGCATTTACAAGAACCTTAAGCGCATTGCACCATTTTATAAACATCAATCAAATCGTTAACTAACTTCATATTCTTGAATGTTGAAAAAGACAATAAACTTTAGAATTATGTATTATGTTTTTGTTCTTTTTCTGGGAGGGGAGTGGGGTTACAATAATAGTAATAAGGTCAATTCAAACCTACTAGCTATAACCTTATGTAAATTATTTAACCCCCTCATTAATTAGCAGCACAATCCTAACAGCTTTTGTATCATTACTTTGTCAAAATAAATTACATTTCACTACTATGGAAACACTTTTATATATCAAACACAAAATATACAATTTTTATTCTAAAACTGCATTAAAAGATCACTGTAACACATGATCCTGAGTAGGGAAAAACTATTTTTTGACATACACCCTGTGATTGAGCATTCACAAACTTCAGTTTTAGTGATTCTATATTTAAAAATTTGATATTGATTAAAATTAAATTTAAAGTAAAATGATTTATATTTATAAATCTTTATCGCAAAAGCAAGTTAACAATAAAATTTAAAATAGAAATTTTAACTCAATGAAGAACCAATAGCTTTTAGTCAAATTGTTAATTTTTTCAGTTATTGTCAATTTAGAAATTTTAACTCAATGAAAAACCAATAGCTTTTAGTCAAATTGTTAATTTTTTCAGTTATTGTCAGTAAACAATTGCCCTAATTGTTTTTTTTTTTTCAGGAGATAAAATTCTACATAAACTTTTTCACATCATTTATTATATTTTCTTCTTCTTTTTCTTTTTTACTATATATTTCTTCTTGTGCCCAATTGACATTTCAAAATGGAGGTGTGAAAGAATTATTATTTTTTCCTATTACATCATCAATCACATATAATATTTTGAATGTTTTGCAATATAATGCGTTAATTTATAATTGTGTATATTGATATTTATTTCTTTATTTAGCCTTTACATATTTTACGATTCTTATTTCTTTAGGTATATCTTAAAAAGTATTTTCTTTTTAATTTTTAATAATGAATATGTTAATTTAGCATAATAATTTAGTAATATATTATTTAATTTAAGATTAATAGTTGAATTAGGTATGACATTTGGGTCGATGATTTATAATTTCTTTAGAATCAATAATTATTTTCTCTTTTAACTAATTAAGAACAAACATGTGTAAAGTGAGAAAGTGAGAGTCTATCAACCATCAATTTAAATTTGTAAACTTAATTAATGCTAAATTATGATAAATAAATTTTCACTTTCTCATGGTATATAGTTTTTTTTTTTTAGTGGAAGCAAATATGATTAAAGCTAAGTATTTAATTAGATGCATTTAATTATATTAAAAACATTACCGTTACCTGTGCTATATAAGTTATTTTGAATAATGTCAGTGCATTTGCATTATAACATTGTTTAAGAATAAAATAATATCATTTGAAACTTATGTTAAATTAAAAAACATCTATTGCATTTTCAAGTACAAATTTTAGAAAATATAAATAAGAAATAAAAAATTAAAATTATTGTCCTTTTTTATTATATTATTCATCATTTTATTTTTTCATTTTTCATCTATTTCACATCTATTTATTAAATGTTTAAAAGTCGTTATCCTCCAAACAAAATATACAAAATATTGGACCACACACTCATCTGTTCCTATCAAGGATAAGAAACACATGAAAAATAGTAATTATATTTAAATTAGTTTTTGAAAATAAAAATTTATCTAAACTTTTTCATATAAAACTAATTCAATTATAATGTTGAGTAACTCATAAATGTATATTCATACATAAACTTTAAACACTATATATTTAAGTGTGAAAAAATTATGTTAAAATATTTCATATTAATTAAAAACATAAGTTAAATAATCTTTTACAAAACTTAAATAATTCTCCTTTCTTAAATTAATCTTAAGAATAAATAAAGCTATTTTTTTTTTAAATTTATCTGTGAAATCCAATTTTAAAAAAGAGATTGGTCCAGTGTTTTTATAATAAAAATGTCCCTCTATCTACGACGGATAGCGTGAATATAAAGTGGTGGTTGATCTTGTACCGTAAGTTATTCCTTGGATAACGTGATTGAATCATATCATAGCGAGTAATCGCTCCCCATTTCTCAACCAAAAACATGCTTGCTCCCTTAGTCATCGCCGAATCCAAAAACTACTCATTCTTCCTCGTCCCAAATCTTTAAATATGATTTATTCAATTATCATAATTCATTTTATTTAATAATAAATATAAGACTAAATTACTAGGAAAAAAAAAATAAGTAAGTCAGTTATATTTTTTATAAATATAAATTATATTCTAAGAATACTTAGTTAGTAATTTATATATTTAATAATATTAATAAAAATAGAATATAAAAAATTTTAACAATTAATGTATCTTAAATTTATCATTTTTTTTTATAATAAAGACAAAAAAATGCTCTATTTTATTTTTTATAAAAAAAATTGAACGGAATATTTTCTAATTTTAAATAATAGTGTTAAATTTTTACCCAATAAAAATGGTAAAACGATAAAATAATCAAAGACAAAATAACATTAATCATTTGTCGAATAATAATAATAATTATTATATTTGAAAAATATAATTAAAAAGTCAAAATATATTTTCAAACCTGAAGAAGAAGAAGTAAAGGTTGCGCTCGCCTTAAGGAAAGGTCGGCGCTGTTTGTTATCTACAGTTATATGCAACGAATAACTTAAAGAATAGTGATTGGAGAATGGTGTGTGGAGTGAGTGCACCAAACAGAATCTTAGAAAGAAGAGGTTACATACGAGTATATACGCTATATCAACTCCGTAAAACGAGTACCAAATGGTGGCGTGATTTAGGGTTTTTATGTAGACGTTATGTACGCAGGACCGCAACCTACGAAAAACGAATGCCATGTCACGTTTTTGTGGACCTCTTTCTTTTGTCCTAACCAAATACTTAATTTATGTTTCTAAATATTTTCTTTTGAACTTTTCAAGAAAAATAAATATTCTTTTGAATTTCTCCCCTTTCATGCGACCTATGTACTACTTTTTGTTCTCCACGTATTTATTATTCACCACTATATCGTACGGTTTTTCAGAATATTTGTTAGTTCTTGTCTACCATGTATTTCTTCCATTTTAAAGCAAGGCATACAAAATTATATAGTATTTTTGTTTAAATAATTATTTTCAAAATAAAAAATGAAATAATAAATAATTTAATACACTAGTGTATAAAAGTCAATAATTCTTGCTTATATTAAATTTTATACTTAAATGGTAATATAAAAAATATTTACATTGTTAATATATTTAAATCATTTCATAAAAAAATATAACCTCTGAAAAATAAGCATTACAAAAGTATTAAAAGTTTACTCCAATTTCTACTAAAGTTGTAATTACTTTTTAATAGTTTAAGTAATGCATGCTTAGTTTATTTTAAGTAAGGTCTTAGATTCAAATTTTGCATATAAAAAAATCTTAAACAAAAAACATTAGTTCCATCATAATGTAACTATTTTTAAATTCAAACAAAGATTTTTAGATCTTGTATACCTATATGGTGCAGGCCATCTGATTATCATATACCAGTATTACAATCTAGCATGATATGTCCTATGCTCATTTTTTTTCTATTGTCTTCTCCCCCCACTGATTTGTTGGCTTTCTCCTCAATAGTAATTATATAATAGAATCGAACCTTCCCCACTTCCCCCCACACACAAATAAAGATAAATTCTTCTATCTACTTCTACTACTATCTAAGCTATTAATAAAATCTTTTGTTTAGACCTTCGATGCAATCCTTGATTTAAATCTATGTACATGCTAAATAAAAAATTAAAAGCAATGATATTAAAGGTTTAATATACGAAGAACTTAGTCACTGTGCAAAATCTAATTATAAATTTAATACACTTAATTTTAATATATTACAAATATAAGGAAAAAACTTTGCATTTATATTTATCATTTCATTTTATAAGTTTAATACGAATTTATTTAATTAACTAATTATGAATAAATCAAACTTATGTTTGTTAACGCATAAGTAAATGACGAAGCAAAATATTCAATGTTGACATTTTATTAAAAGTGAACTGTAAATTTTTGGCAGTCTAAAGTCTTCATTCTATAACATATTGTACACTGTATTTCACCCGATTATTTATTAATATGTACATCCACATTATATATAACGTATATTCCGAATTACTCTTTGCCATCTATATACGTCTATCGTGGCATGTAAAATGAAGGAACTAAAAAAAAATTAAATAACACTTTTCATAAATAAAAACAATAATAGCAAAATATTATCCAAAACCAATTAAAGGGAAGGGAATAGATAATCAAGCAATAAAGGAAGGGCACGCAAAGGTAACTGCCGCAAAGACAGGCCCTCATATCTAACTCAAAATTCGGCACGACTTTTACTTTCCTTTCAGTTCATTTCTTTTATGCGTTCAGTTATTTATTTATTTTAATACGTAAAATAACAAAAAAAATATATTAGCATAACATAATTGACAAGACATGAGACAAAGTACCAACCTGCACAGTGCACATCACCCAAATCCTTAGCTATAAGTACCTTCACAGACCATTCCAATTCCCACCACACCACCTTCTTCACCACTACCTGTACCACTTCATATATCTTCCAACTTCATATACATCTCTCTCTCGCACAATCATATTTCACCAAATTCAGAAAATGGCAAACCCAACACCAAGAACTAGTCCTCATTTCTTTCTCATTCGTGTGATCTTATGCTGTTGGTTGAGTTCATCCATGGCCATGGCAGCCTCTACTTACAATGTGGTCAATTTTGGGGCGAAGTCGGATGGTAAAACAGACTCCACCAAAGCATTTCTGAAAGCATGGGCCAAAGCTTGTGATTCATCCAAACCCGCCACAATTTACGTGCCACAAGGAAAGTTTTTACTTAAAAGTGCAACCTTTAGTGGGCAATGTTCCAACAAGGCTATTTCTATAACCATTGATGGCACTTTGGTGGCCCCTTCTGATTATGGGGTCATCGGAAACTCCGGAAAATGGTTGCACTTCGAAGATGTTAATGGTGTCTCAATTCGAGGTGGGGTTCTTGATGGCCAAGGCACTGCCTTGTGGAATTGCAAGAACTCAGACAAAGGTGATTGCCCAAGCGGCGCCACGGTACGTTTCGTCATGCATTATTGCTCATTATTATCGTTGACGCAATTATTCTTTGCTTTTAATATTTTTAATTTCAAAGTTGGAGTTAATCCAGATGATCATTAGTGAGAGTTTATTTAGTTGGCAAGATTATGGAATGGTTTGTAACTGCTCAGCGGTGTGGTCGCTAGTAGTTGAAGCAAATTATCTAGCGGAGACTTTGTAATTAGTTATAATATACCAATCATAATAAGTTATTAGATTACTTTTCTTAAAACATTGCTGCTGTGGGACCTGGACTTCCATGATATATAATTTGTCTCCCACTGAAATTTTGGTTATTTTCTTAAAGATAAATGTTATTCTTTGACAACAATTTTTCTGAAGTTTTATTAAAATAGTATTAATTATGTTAAAAATACTATATCAAAAAAATTATAGTTTTAAATGTTTAAAATTAAACTTTTAATTATAGTTGTCATTTTTTAAGGAATTGAATAGTGACATACATAGTAAAGGATGTAGCATGTAATGAACATTAAGATAATATAATTGAATAATTATGTAACCATTTTTAATGCTCTTTGCTCTTTTGTATATTAAAATATGTAGCAATTATTAGTAAACTTTATGAAACAAAGGAGAGTTTGAAGTGACGATCGTTGTGTTTCTACTGTGTTCAGACACTGGGATTCACCAACTCCAATAACATCATCATTGGTGGGTTGACCTCACTCAACAGTCAAATGTTCCACATAGTGTTCAACGGATGCCAGAATGTGAAAGTGCAAGGCGTGACGGTAAAGGCCTCCGGTGACAGCCCCAACACCGACGGCATCCATGTCCAAAGGTCCTCTGATGTCACCATTCTCAACTCCAAAATTCGAACCGGCGATGATTGCATCTCAATTGGCCCTGGCACTAGTAACTTGTGGATTGAAAACATTGTATGCGGACCAGGCCATGGAATCAGGTTGTTTATTTATATGAAATTAAGAATGTTATTCCATGAAATAAGTGAATATTATAGGTGTTGATATACTTTTGGTCATTTTTATATTGATAATAATTGTGAATATTTATTGAAATTTTCAGCATTGGAAGCTTGGGAAAGCAATCAGAAGAACCCGGTGTAGAAAATGTGACAGTTAAAACGGTTACCCTCTCTGGGACTCAAAACGGAGTTAGAATAAAGACTTGGGGGAGACCCAGCAGCGGATTTGTGAGGAATGTCCTTTTTCAAGACATAGTCATGGACAACGTCGAAAACCCCGTTATAATTGACCAAAACTACTGCCCGCGTAACGAGGGCTGCCCGGGTCAGGTTAGTTTCAATCAAGTCAAGGCTCAATTTTTTGTTTTTGCTCACCAATCAAGGCTAATTTGTTGGCAAAAGTTTTTCATGGGCTTTAATGGGCCTAAAACAGTGCGTAATTTTTCTTCCGTTTCATATCATTTATTTTTCTTGACCAACAAAAGTCATTTATTTTTTGCTGACCAAAACAAATATCATTTACTTTTAAAAATTTATTAATTATAAAAGCTATTATGATTTTTTTTTACAAAATTAAATTTATTAAAAGCCAGAATATAGAACTTATTTAAGATTTAAATAAATCAATAAAACAATAATTAATACCTTTTTCAATTTAAAAAATAACATATTTTGATAAAAAGATTTTAAAGAGCTTATGTTGTTTCTTCTGTTTGATTTTTGCTTGGCGAAATTAACTAACAGGCCTCCGGAGTCAAAATCAGTGATGTGACATACCAAGACATTCATGGATCATCGGCGACCGAGGTTGCTGTGAAATTCGATTGCAGTTCCAAGTATCCATGCAGCGGTATAAAGATGAAGGATGTGAAGCTCACTTACAAGAACGAACCTGCGCAAGCTTCGTGCATCCATGCTGATGGATCAGCTCTGGGTTCAGTTCAAGCTCAGAAATGCTTTTAGACCAAAATATATATATATTAACCAATGATTCTAAATGGAATCACTGTCTTTGCCCCTCCAGTCACAGTACAAGATAGGTAGGCATGCAGTGTATTGCTATGTTATAGTTTTTCTTTTTTTGGGGGGTGTCAAATATATATATTGTAGATTGAGATTTTACTTTTGTCAGAGTTAGTTTGTGGTTCATTGCTTGATCCTGCGGCGTTTATGGCCCATTGGGCAATAGTGGAGCCTGGTCTTGCAAATGATATGAACCACATAAAGTCCAATTTTCAATTACCAATTCTTCTGTTAAGACATCCTAAAGAAAATGAAGGTTATATGTATTATTATATTGGATTTTTGTGTTACTTTTTCTTTTTTGATATTACTATCATCACGTGGTACCCAGACCCGTCTACTTCAGTAGTTCATCTCTTACGTCTAATTTCTATGATATTACTTTTAGGTGTAGTGTTTATTATCTATTACCACCACATGGCACATGTTCATTTACATGAGTTTCTCTCTAGTTTCTCAAATAGCATTTCTATTAGTGCAAAAGATTTTGTGCGCATCTGTTACGGAGAAAATGTGGTCGAATTTTATTGGATATTTTACAAAGTCAAAGAATAATGAAAATGGATGAATGGATGCATCTGGTATTGTGTGTTCATTAAACAATTTTCATAATACCTTTATTTCCCTTTCTCAAAATCAAAACCACCAATTACCTCCTTCTCTCTCTCTCTCTCTCTCTCTCTCCCTCTCCCTCTCAGTGTGAAAAATTGAGTAAAACAATATTATAATTTAATTGCACAAACTTGTGAATGGATCGAAGTTATTGAAAGCAGAAAGATGTATTTTTAATTTAGTTGAACGCAATGCAGCTGCACAATAGATGGGCTATATACTACAATCAAGAATACAGCTCAATTCTCGTACTAATTAATGTGGTTCTAATTATGTTGTGCTTTCATTTTGACATTTCTATTTTTGTCACGGGTTCGGTACAAGAACTTGGGAGAGAAAAAGGTTTGAGAAGTTAAGAGACTTCCAACGGTTTTAGATTGAACTAAAAAGAAAAAACTATGGTATAATTATTTGGTTAAGAAGCAAGCAAAGAAGCTACTGGCATGGGGTCATGCCTCTAAGGAACATGTTTAATTGAGACTTGAGTACAAGTTTGGAGAAATCAAACCCTAACGCTTTTTCCATAATAAACTCTATATATCACGCATTTGCTATAATTTTACTTTGCAGGGTGAATTTAAACAGTGATTAATGTACTATTTTTAAAACATTAATTAATCACAACATTCTAACTTTATTTTAATTAAAGTTAAATTTTATGTATTATTATATTAATTGTTAATGAGTTTTAAATATTTAATAATGAAGAATAAAAATATAAGCAATAATAATAATAATAATAAATACTTCTAAAAATTTATAGAAAGTCTTACATTAAGAATTAACGAAAATATTTAAAAAGTTCTGATAAAAAATATATAAAAAGTTTATAAATAGCAATGTTGATAATTCAATATGTGATAAAGTAAAAAAGAAAGTAGAAAGGTGATGTATTTAAATGAAATTTAAATTTTTATAACTAAAATAATTCAATAACATTTTTAAGAGAAAATAAAATAAAATGATAAACACTTTAAAATAATTGAATTAACAACACTGTTCTCAAACATAATACAAAGGACTGATTACTATAGGACGTCACAATTAAATTATTAAATTTACTTAATATTTTTATGAACATTATTCAAAGGATTAAAAAGTGACTTTGAAAACTTTTGTGACCTGTAATGAAGAGCCATTTTTCAATGTATACCGTACGCAAAATTCCAGATTTTTGCATCCAATAACTCACCCGTAACCTACAAGAGAATACACTTCAACATATGCCAATCAAAGTTCTTCACCATTGTTTCGTGCTCTTAGTGGTGTTAATCCAGACATTACTTGTATTAGTGTTGAGTACTCGAATAGTCGAATCTGTGTCGGGCTTCGGTCGATTGCTGAATTTTGGAGCCATGAAAAGTTAAAAGTAAGATTTTGTAATTGTTAATTTTAATTTAATTATTTTATAACCATAATTAACTCAAAATTAATGATAAAAGAAGTTCCACTTTCTCATTTTATCAATGTTATCATTTAAGAAGACTTAGTCCAAATTAATTTTATCAATGAACGATTTAAATTAACAAAAATTACTTATAATGTCTTCATATGGATCTTATTTTTTGGTGAAGTGGAAATTTAGCTGAACGTATTTGACAAGAATAGAGGTAATATGCAATGCAACTTGATTCAAATATTGTCAAATATTCATTGGTACCTGCGAATAATAGTAAATTTACTCAACATTCGCTCAATGAATAGATAACCTAAATATGGTATTATAATGCCAAACAACCTAAACTAAGCTTGAGGAGACAATTAAGACCAAACAGTGATTCATAAACATGATAGATAACTACACACTATTAGACTTTGAGCAACAGACTCGGATAGTTGCTAAGTTTATTTAGAATCGATCACTACTAAAGAATGCATTCTTAGTATTCAATTGATGAAGAAGCTAATGTGTAAAAAGGGGATCAAAGTCGAAATGTTATTTGTAGAGTAAGGAAAAAACAAAACAATAGAGGATTATGCATCGACTTCGTTGCTTGTTTTGAGGCTTTAGATATTTTTGGGCTTCTTTCTTTCTTGAAAGTAGGTTTTTCTGATTGAATGTTGTTGAAGATCTATCTTTTGGGCCTTTTGTTTATAGAAGGAAGAAAAAAGTTAATTTATTTTTAAGTTTTTCTTAATATTTTTATTTGGTCTGACTTCTCATTAAAAAAAAAAATTACAAAAACATTTTAAAAATACAAACAAATATCTTATAAGAATATGTTTAATTTATTTTTTAAAAACAGTTTTTAAAAAATAAATCAAACATGCTCTAATTATGTTGAGTTAGAAAAAAGAGGTATAAGTTAATTTTTAGACCTTATGTTTCAAAACATGAAAAAGAGATTGCATAGAAAATAAATAAATAAATAAATATAATTTTGAACATAAATACTTAAGTCCAAATTAATGTTTGAAACGTGATTTGTTGGTGTGCACTAATTGTATCTCTCAACGGACAATCAAGGTAATTTTGAGATAGAAATAGTATAAAAATAGATTGTTTCTCTCAACAAAATTTTTCGTTTTTACCATATTTAATTACAGGAAAAGTTTGTAACGACAATCAAGTTAAATTTTATTGCACATATTTATTTTATTCAATTTCTTATATATAAAATAATGCCTCTTAATTTACCTAACACGATTTTTAATTTTTAATAATTTGACTTAACAATTAATTTTTAATTCCATTAACTTAGCATGTTTTGGCAACAACATTTTTAGACAAATTAAGCTCATTTAGGTTGACCTTTAAAAATATTACTACTTTCAAAATTGGTCATAAATTTAAAGTGATCTTAACTGCGCGCACACACACCTAACCTATAAATTATAAAAGATCATAAATTTTTCTAGTTAATTGTGTCAAATGTAATCTTAATTATTTTTCTAAAATTTATGATTGAGAATAAATCAAAGAAGATATAAAGAGAATATTGTTTAAAAATAATGAATTTAAAGTATTATTATTTCATATGATAGTTGTGTTGTCAAAATGTCAGCAAGATATGTTTTAGCCTCAACTCTTTCCTTATTTAATTGCTCAAGGTCATTGACACTTTTTATATATATATTTTTAATAAAATTTAGGTGAATTAGATTTTGAGAATCAAAATATGTTTCAAGGTTCAAATTATATTTATAAAAATATTTATAAATTTAAATATATGTTTTAATGAGATATAAATTTAGTTTTTTATTGACTGAATCAATTTTATTTAGCATATAAAAGCTCATAGAGAAAGCATAATTTTGTGAGCAGATTAATCCTACAACCTTTTCTGTTCCAACATTAGGAGGTTTTTTTTTTTTTTTTGTTTTAAAAAATGTCATTGAATAATTGAATACGTGGCTATCTTCTCCCTTTTTTCTGAAAAAAATAGCTTGAGAGATGCAATATTTTCTTGCGATACAGTAATCCAATGTGTAATTTTTTTGTTTTTGTTGCAAAGGCATATTCATTTCAAAGATTGATGAAAGAAAAAAAAATTGGTAAGAGGTTTTTTTCCCATCACAATGGATAATTTTGAAAAATACCCTTTATTACATTTTTTGTTTGTTATACTGATTAATCACCAAAACCTGTCTACAGAAAACTTCCTTTAGTTTATCCAAAAGTGCAATGTCTCACTTTCTTTTGTTATATTGACTTGGGTGGGAGGCATGCAGAACCCTAGTCTTGAAGGCCCATGCATTGCAGAGGTTTGTGTTAGGATGGTACACAAAAGGGCCAGTTTGGTTGGAAATTTGTGGATCAAGAAATGATGATATCAAATAAGAAGGGTGAGATTCAAATGGCTAAAGGTGATGTTTGTGTTCGGATATCAAATGTCACCAAAGGGTAAAATGTAATCTTTATGTTAATAATGTTGTGTTTCAATATAGTTGATTTCACAATAGTGATCTTAAGTTTCTTTGATTAGAATAGGTACTGGTATCTAGTAGGTGAAATCAAGGAAATGAGATTATAAGATGTTTTTTTTTAAATGATAGTGAAAGGTATTTTTAAAAAGAAAAGTAACAATAAAAATTAAAAATAATGTTAAAAGTTAAAGAAAAAGTTGCAAAAAGTAATCCCAACGTTATCCCATATGACCAGCCCCATGGAAGTTTAGTAGATGACTTATCAGTACTCAAACGGAGACATTTGCTATAATTGAACTTTGACCTTTATGGGTTGACGCAGAGCCAACATAACATTATTAGCTTTGTGTATATATTAATACTCTGCTTTTGATTTGTTCAGTACAATCTATTATAGGTATTCAGATTTAACTAATTTAGCTATGATTCATGCAAAACAGGGTCAAAAAGTTTATCATATA